GCAGGCTGGGCTGAGGGACGCCCCCCCCCCCCCCCCCCCCAAATTTTGTGCACCAGGCCTCTAGTATCTATATAACCACTATCTTCCGGATATCTATACCATCATGTCCCACAGATACTTCTTTTTCCCTGAACAGAATTCACTTTCCCCTATCTTGAACTCCTTCTGTTAAGAGGTACCAGTATCATTTGACTCATCTTAGCCAACCTATATATATAAAAGGCTAATATGCTAAGTGTCCGACCATCTGACTGGTCGCTATGACGTGTACTGACCACCAGTGGGCAGACGCTCAATGCAGGAGCTGCTCAGATGCAGTGACTTGGCAGCGGCGGTTCTCAGGTGACACACCCCAAAACCAGAGAGGAGGGAACCCAATTCCTCGCATGGCCATGTGATTCCACCTTCGGCCATGAGTTATGTTGTTGCTGGGGCACTGTCAGCCCCAAATCTGGTTTACTGCACACTTGCGTTTGCGTTCCACACCTTGTATGACAGCAACTTTGCAGAGTGCCTTCTTGCACTCCGGGGGATGTCGGAGAAGCAGTTTTGGCCCAATTCTCACAGGCCAGGTCAAGGGACCCCACCTGCTGAAGGGACCCCGCTCACTCTGCAAACGCCAGGGAGGGACCGCGGGAGGTTGGCTCCAGGGCGTGTCCAGCCCATTTGGCCCAGTCCCGACCCGCTGGCCACCTTCTAATTAATTTCCTTTCAATATGCACCAATCTGTGCACTGGGTCACTAGTTTAAATATATAGATATATAAGGCTAATATGCTAAGTGTCCATCCAACTGGTCGCTATGATGTGCACTGACCACCAGGGGGCAGATGGTCAGTGTAGGAGCTGCTGTGATGCACACTTGCCATTTATGGAGAAATGGCACTGTGGACCTGACACCCACAAAGCAACACTCGGCTTCCCCCAAGTGAGACACAGGCCCCACTACCACCCCGGAGTGACACCCCACCAAATCACAGCCAATGCTGCCAAGACGCCATGGTGCAAAATGCGGCCCAAGCCCAGCCTAGCCCAGAAACAGTCGCTGTGTGTGCCAGGTAATGACGTAGCAACACCCAGCTTCCTCTCCCTAGCGACTAGCCTCCTTGGAGTTTCTTCAGCCCAGGAACACGGCTTGCTTTATAGCCAGGTGGAAACATATCACACTATAACTAAATGTCTGTGAAATGTTTTCCCGTGCCTTATCTCATTTGATCCTCACAGAAGTCCTGGAGTAGGTAGATAGGAGACTCGGTGGAATCCTATTTTCTTTTTATTAGCCAGAAAACAGATTTAGAAAGTTTAGAAACTTGACCCGACTGAAAAGAAGTAAGAAATGGTGGACCTTGAAAATGACTTCAGGTTTTCTCACAGCGCAGAATATAGTCAAACACTGCTGCAGTTGTGCACAAATTTTTGTGCACCGGGCCTCTAGTCTATATATATAAAAGGCTAATATGCTAAGTGTCCGACCATCCGACTGATCGCTATGATGTGTACTGACCACCAGGGGGCAGA